CACCCAGAGGAGATTATACCCTAATAGGAATGTTCCTAGAGGACCTTCTCAAGGCCCACGCCCTGACTTCACCCAGCAGAGGGGCAGGGGCATCAATGGCAGAAACAATAGGCGCTGCCCACGCCCAGCCCCAGATAACAATCAGGGGCCCCCTAACAAACCCCAGGGCCCTGACAGGACTTTTGATGGGATCCACAAGGGACCTTACCAGTCTCCCCTCTGATTTTCCTGTACCATTTATCCCGTTTTCTCCAGGCCTGGAGGAATGTTACATTGGACCAATGGGTCCTGCAGATAGTAGAAAGGGGTATGTAATCCCTTTCCACTCGTCCCCTCCTTCCCAACTCCCTACTCTGTCCCTTTTCAGGAACCCCTCTCACAAGCCTCTGTTACAGGAGGAGGTTCACCATCTTCTCACTCTAGGGGAGGTGGAATGAGTTCCCCTTCAATTTTGAAACAGGGGATTTTATTTCCGCTACTTTCTGCTTCCGAAAGCAAAAGGAGGTCTCTGCCCAATCCTGGACCTTAGAGCCCTAAATCTTTTCATCATCAAGTAAAAATTCAAAATGGTCACTATGGTATCCATAATTCCCTCCCTACATGCACCCGCTACAGATGTGGCTATCACGAGTCCATAACCCAACCGCTCACTCCTGGGACAGAGTATTGACCTAGCCCCCGGAGACTGGTACGCTGCCCTTGACTTAACGGATGCTTACTTTCATGTTTCAATCACCCCTTTCCATCAAAGGTTTCTACAACTCATTGTGGTCCAGGACCATTAGCAATTCATGGCCCTTCCCTTCAGTATTTCTACGGCTCCCCAGGTCTTCACAAAATGCATGGTGGTGGTGGCCGCTGAACTCAGGAAAAGGGGCATCCAAGAGTTCCCCTATTTGGACGATTGGCTCCTCAGGGGAGAGTTGAAAACCCAGGTGAGAAATCACATCACCAAAGTCCGAGAACTCTTTCAAGAACTAGGTCTTCTTTTAAACCTGGACAAATCCACCCTAACTGCTACCCAGACAATAGAATTTGTGGATGCTACCCTGGATTCCCGGTCCCAGAGAGCTTCTCTACCCAGCTCCCGCTTTCTCACACTACAGTCAATGGTCAGGTTGCTCCAGAATTTTCCAGAGACCACTGCCCAGGTTTGCATGCATCTATTGGGCCTCATGGCCACATGCACTTATATAGTGCAACACGTCAGGCTGCGTATGCGCCCGCTACAGATGTGGCTATTGCGAGTCCACAATCCAACCACTTACTCCAGGGATAGAGTGTTGACTGTCCCTGCTCCCATTTTCCTAGCACTGGAGTGGTGGACCCATCAAGCGGATGTGTGCGCAGGGGTCCCATTCTCCCTTCCAGTCCTATCCATCCAATTGGTCACAGACTGCACAAGCCAATCAAATTGTCCTGAGTTCCTTGATGTTGACATGCTTTGGGGAGCCACCTGGGAGAGCTGTTCACTCAAGATACATGGTCCCCACATGAAACTTCCCTGCATATCAACGTCAGGGAACTCAGGGCAGTCTATTGGCTTTTTTTGGTTTTCTTCCCCCATCGGCTACATCTAGACTGGCATGATTTTCTGCAAATGCTTTTAACGGAAAAGTTTTTCCTTTAAAAGCATTTGCGGAAAAGAACATCTAGATTGGCACAGACGCTTTTGCGCAAAAGCACTTTTTGCAGAAAAGCGTCCGTGGCCAATCTAGATGTGGTTTTGCACAAGAAAGCCCCGATTGCCATTTTCGCCATTGGTGCTTTTTTGCGCAAAACAGATTTTAGCTGTCTACACTGGCCCTCTTGTGCAAATACATTTGCGCAAGAGGACTTTTTCCTGAACGGGAGCTGCATAGTATTTGCGGAAGAACACTGACAATCTTACATTAGATCGTCAGTGTTCTTGCGGAAATTCAAGCGGCCAGTGTAGACAGCTGGCAAGTTTTTCTGCCAGTCTAGACGCAGCCATCCTGTCAGACAATATGACAGCAGTAGCATATATAAACAAGCAGGGCGGGGCTCTATCCCCTCACCTGTGCTCAGAGGTGAATGTGCACCCAAAGGTGTCGTATCTCCGAGGCTCCCAGTACATCCTGGCATACAGACTGAGCAGATTGTTTGCAAGCCATGAGTGATCCCTGCATTTGGACGTTGCCCAATTCATCTTCCACGCATAAGGATTTCCCCACCTGGACCTGTTCACCACAGGGCAGAACACTAAGTGCACCCAATACTGCTCCCTCATGGGATAGGGATGGGGTTCCTTAGGGAACACTCTCCTCCTCCACTGGCCTGCTGTATGCCTTCCTGCCCTTCCCACTGGTTCACAGGGTCCTGCTCAATGTGAGGGAGTTCTGGACATCACTAATTCTAATCACCCCAGCGTGGCCCAGGCAACACTGTTTTTTGACCCTTCTCAACCTCTCACGCGAGAGGCCCATAACCCTCCCACTAGTCCCGGACCTGATATCCCAGGACTTGGGCAGGCTTCACCACCCAGACCTGCAGTCTCTCCACTTGACAGTGTGGAAGCTCCATGGTTAACAGCAGAGGAGCTCCACTGCTCTCAATGAGTTCTGGATGTCCTACTGGGTAGCAGAAAACCTTCCACTAGAACCACGTACCTCGCTAAGTGGAAGCGGTTTTGCTGTTGGGCTTATCAGAAGGGGGTGCACCCGAGGTGGCATCAGGCCCCCATATCCTGGATTACCTGGACCTTAGGCTCCAGCATCTCTCTCCCTCCTCCATTAAGTTCCACCTAGCGGCCATCTTGGCCTTCCACCCAGAGGAAGGTGGGGAAACGCTATTTGCCAATACAATGGTCAACAGGTTTCTAAAAGGAATGGACAGATTCTATCTGCATGTCTGGCAACTCATTCCCCAGTGGGACCTAAACTTGGTCCTATCCAAACTTATGGGCCCCCCGTTCGAACCATTAGCCACGTGCTCCCTCCTTCACCTATCATGTAAGGTATCCCTCCCAGTGGCAATCACATCCATGAGGTAGGTGTTTGAGCTTAGGGTGCTGAAGTCAGATCACCCCTACACAGTGTTCTTTAAAGACAAAGTTCGGCTCTGCCCTCACCCAGCCTTTATGCTAAAGGTGGTATCTTCATTCCACACTTCCCAGGACATTTTCCTACCAGTCTTTTACCCAAAACCGCATCCATCTGGGAAAGAGCAGGCTTTACACAAATTAGACATCCGTAGGGCATTAGCCTTTTATTTAGACAGGACCAAACTGTTCTGAAAATCACCACAACTTTTCATAGCCATCGTGGAACACATGAGAGGCCAACCTGTATACACTCAGCAAATTGCCTCATGGATAACCCCTACTATCCTGCTACTCCCTAGCAGGCATCTCAGCCCCAACCGTTAGAGCACACTCCATGAGAGCTGTGGCAGCTTCCACCGTTTTTGCAGCACAGGTTCCCCATCTGGGACATCTGCAAGGCTGCCACATGGTCCTCGGTCCACATGTTTTCCCACCACTATGTGCTGTCGCTTCAGGCCAGAGAAGACGCTGCCCTAGGTAGGGCGGTCCTCAACTCCTCCATGGTCTTGACATCCAGCCCTCCACATAGTTAGGTTCTGCTTTGGAGTCACCTATATTGGAATGCACATGAGCAATCACTTGAAGAAAGAAAGGTTACTTACCTTGTAACTGTGATTCTTCGAGATGTGTTGCTCATGTCCATTCCAAATCTCCACCCACCACCCTTTATCTGGAGTATACCGGTAAGAAGGAACTGAGTGGGTGAGGGGGCCAGCAGGGGTATATATGGGCCGGTATACCAACGCCACTCCAGGGAGCTCCCTGCTGGTCCTAAGGGTACTACTGAGGGAAAAACATCTGACGGCATGTGCATGCTGCGTGCGCACACCTATATTGGAATTGACATGAGCAACACATCTCAAAGAATCACATTTACAAGGTAAGTAACTGTTCTTTCTCTGTGTGTGTACACATACATACAAATTTTCTTACTTCCATCCACACACCTAAGCAATGGTCATCTACTATGATGACCATTGTGACACAGGCTTTCAATAAAAACCTTATATGACACTCTTATGCATACTGGAACCAAGATACCAGACCCATAGAGATCCCTGTAATCCTTACGATCTTCTGCCAGTGGGCACCAACAGGTTTCTGGGTCACATATTCTTCTATCTTAAGGAGAACTTGTGCTGCAGTTTGAAAGGTTCATCTCAGGTCTCAGTCTGACATTGTAGGAGTGTATTTATTTTTAGAACCAGAACACCATCTCTCAGCCAAGTAAGTTTCAAGTAACTCGAGCTTCTCTGCTATATTCAGTGAATGTATGACCAAGAATTAAAAAACTTAATTAACTTGCTTGAATTTATCATATCCCTCAGTTTAAAAGCCAGTGCATAATTACAGTTTTATCTCCATGTATCATCCATAAAACAAGCTATACATGCAGTTTATTTGATTGACGTAATAATATTTTTATTTCCCTCCTACTTTACATGTATGCATATAGAAGTTTTTCTAAAGAGCCTTTACCTTGGAAAGAATCCTTTTCAAAACATGCAAGGGAAAATCTTAAAAATCAGGTCAATAAATCATATGACTTTAAAATATATTAACAACTTGGAACTTTTCGAAATGTATCTGAATCTGATCATAGGTCTAGCAGAGCACCCTTTTGGAGAGTGTAAGCTTTTAAAGTATTAATACATTTTATAATCGGTTTCTTGACTGTTGAAATAAAAAGTGTAAATAATCCCAGTATTTACGTTTCCAGCTTTATGGCTGAGTTTTCAAAAGTGCTTAGCATTCAGCTACTTCTGAAATCAATGATAAAGCTCCAATTGACTTAAAAAGAAAATAATTAAGGTAATGCTTGTAAACTTTTGAAAATTCCATCCTCTATAGCAAATACAATTCCTATCAGACTGGCAAAGCAGCACTGTAGAAAGTTTATAAACATGACTTCCTTTTTTATTTTTTCATTTCCCAGACAAACCCTGTGGGCATCCTGGCGATCTTCAGTTTGGCTCCTTTGAACTTACTGCTGGAACTGAGTTTGTATTTGGTGCTCGTGTTGAGTACAAATGCGATGAAGGGTAATGTTCATTAAATTAAGAGAGTCATTGGTTTCCATAAGAATGTTTAACAAAACTCTTTAATCTCATACCATCAGGTGTACTTCTCTAGCAGAGTCAGCCAAATATTGTCAACTTTAAGACCACACATAATTTGTTTAAGATTACTGTAGATGACCTCAGATTTAATATGAAGATTCAGAACTCAGAAACTAATGAACTGATGAAGTCTTTTTATAGGGCTCAGAGGGTAATATCAGAGCTCTGATTTTCTGAGGTCAGCATTTAAGGTGCGTCTAGACAGCACCCTTCTGTTGGAATAAACTATGTAATTTGCACTCCACAAATTATTTAGCTTATTCCAAGTCTGAATTGAAAGAGCTTATTTTGAAATTTAGCTGTGTCTACACAGCGCCAAATTTCAAAATAAGGCACTATTCCAACAAATCCCTTAACCCTCAGTTACAGGGACACTGGAACAGTGCTCCCACTATTTTGGGAAATAAGAGGCACTTTTCAAGACACAGCATTGCTCTTTTGGAATGCTTCTGGTATCCTGAAATATCAACATAGTCTCTAGACATACCTGTACAGGCAGTCCCCGGGTTACATGGATCCGACTTACATCGGATCCCTACTTACAAACGGGGTGAGGCAACCCCGCACTAGCTGCTTCCCCCCAGCAGACCAGGGAGACGCGAAGCTAGTGCCCCCCTCAGCAGACCAGGGAGACGTGGAGCGGCTTTTCTCAGCAGACACCTCAGCTTGAGAATAAAAGACTGAGGGAAATGAGGTGTGGGAGAATAAAACTGAGCTCTGGAGAAATGTTTGGATAGAGTTTCCCCAACAATATGTACCAGTTCCGACTTACATACAAATTCAACTTATAAACAAACCTACAGTCCCTATCTTGTACGTAACCCGGGGACTGCCTGTATAAGCCAAATTTCAATAATACCTGGTCTATAGGGGTGTGTCTAGACTACATGCCTCTGTCGACGGAGGCATGTCATGAGCAACACATCGCATGTAGATTAGCCAGATCGGCAGAGCGGGGCAGCCATTTAAATTTAAATGGCTGCCCCGCTCTGCCGATCTGGCTAATCTACATGCCTCTGTCGACGGAGGCATGTCATGAGCAACACATCGCATGTAGATTAGCCAGATCGGCAGAGCGGGGCAGCCATTTAAATTTAAATGGCTGCCCCGCTCTGCCGATCTGGCTAATCTACATGCCTCTGTCGACGGAGGCATGTCATGAGCAACACATCGCATGTAGATTAGCCAGATCGGCAGAGCGGGGCAGCCATTTAAATTTAAATGGCTGCCCCGCTCTGCCGATCTGGCTAATCTACATGCCTCTGTCGACGGAGGCATGTAGTTTAGACGTACCCTAGTAATTGCAGAAGAGAAATTTTTGAAATAACTAGTTTGAGGAGGACTCAGTAACTATAGTCATCATGTGCTTGCATGACCAACTATAGCTCTCTAATAAGAGTTGCAGAAAATTGAATAAAAAATCTTGTGTACAGTAAGGTATATTCCCTTACAGTCTGGCTGTTTTGCACTGCTCTGACAAAATGTGCCATTTTCACCAGGTTTTTGTCTCCTTTGTACTTCAGGGTACCAGGGCGGTTGGAAATTGAGATATTCCCTAATGTTCTGAGAAAACAGTGAATTACAATGGAGAGCTGAGCCACAGCCTAACATAAGCACCTCTCTGTAAAAAAGAAACTTTCAGTGAAGCTTTCTCCTGATGCCATTTTGTTACTATGTGCAATAGGGTGTTTATAAAGTAGGGAAGGAGTGCAGTAGAGACAGTATTGTTTCCTTCCCCAGGTGGATATTTTGGGTTTAGTTAGTGTATGGGGCCATGGGAAACTACTTACATTGTTTCAGCTGTAATAGCATCACATAACCTGTTAACAGCTGTATTTTGCTGTATTTTAGAATTTCATATTTTGGTGGGGTTTTTTTTTTGTAAGATATCAAATGCTCAGCCAAAGAAATTTCCGTGAATGTCTGGCAGATGGATGGAACAATGAAGTCCCCCATTGTGAAGGTAAATGGAGTCTAAAACTTAATCTTTTTTCCAAACTTATTTTTATTTAATATTTACTTGCCTAAAACTATATAGAATCGGATTTTGAAATCTTTCCTCACATTGATTAATATCCTAGGGTATGTCTACACTACAAAGTTAATTCGAACTAACAGCCAGTAGTTCGAATTAACTTTCATAGGCACTACACATACAAACCACTAGTTCGAACTTAATTCGAACCAGCGGAGCGCTTAATTCAAACTAAGTAAACCTCATTCTACGAGGACTAACGCCTAGTTTGAATTAAGTACTTTGAAGGAGACGTTAGTGTCATTATACAAGGCATTGGTGAGACCCCATTTGTAATACTGTGTACAATTCTGGTCTCCCATGTTTAAGAAGGATGAATTCAAACTGGAACAGGTACAAAGAAGGGCAACTAAGATGATCCGAGGAATGGAAAACCTGTCCTTGGCTTGTTTACTTTAACCAAAAGAAGGCTGAGGGGGGACATGATTGTACTCTTTAAATATATTAGAGGGATAAATACCAGGGAGGGAGAGGAATTATTTAAGCTTAATACCAAAGTGGACACAAGAACAAATGGATATAAGCTGGTTAGTAGGAAGTTTATACTTGAGATTAGATGAAGGTTTCTAACCATTAAAGGAGTGAAGTTCTGGAACGGCCTTCCAAGGGATTAAATTTAAATGGCTGCCCCGCTCTGCCAATCAGCTGTTTGTTGGCAGATCGGGGCAGTCTGGACGCACCGCGCCGACAAAGAAGCCTTTCTTGATCGGCACAGGTATGCCTTGTGAAACCAGGTTTACCTGTGCCGATCAAGAAAGGCTTCTTTGTCGGCGCGTCGCGTCCAGACTGCCCCGATCTGCCGACAAACAGCTGATCGGCAGAGCGGGGCAGCCATTTACATTTAAATGAAGCCGCGATTATTTTAATCGCGGCTTCATTTCCCTCTGCCGATCTGGCTAATCTACATGCCTCTAGTGAGCGTCCAGGCAGGTTAAAGTATTCTCCAATGGGTTTCTCTGTGTTGCCTTTTCGGATATCGGGGGCA